TTTCAGTAGTTTTAATACTAAACATTCCATCTTCATCAAACAGGAATAAAGAAATTACAAAAGTAGATTAATCCTTCTGATAAATGATGAAAATATTAATAGAATTGTGGTGAAACACTGTCAGCTTGCTCACCGGGTTTTGCTAGCTTTGTTAAAGGAGTTTCTGTTGCGTTACAGACTGAAAATGGAAGACTGAAATTCTGAAATGAATGTGTTCCATGACTTTAGAAGTGCTGTATACCCGTAGTGTATGAATGAGTTAAGGATCAGGAAATTGTGTTCTTTTCAAAGGTTGGGTAGTAAAATAGAATATGTGGCTCCCATCATCAAGCAAGAGCATGCTCTGATGTGCTTGTGATGCCTTGTGCTGAAAAGTCAGTCTCAGGATGTGCAAGTCACGAACAAGAATGAGAACCTTGACCTTGAGGGCAGGGGCATAACCAGTAGAGTCATGGCAAGAACGAGAAAATTCTGAGGTTTTTTGACTAAACAGAGTGGAGGGGAAAAAAGAAAGTGAGAAAACTACTTACCTGTGGTAGTAAAAAGCTCACAGAGTAAACACAAAAAAGACCATTTGTCATAAGGTTTGAGTTTCTCTTTGCCCAGTGTCTTGGGATTTTAAGATGATTTTTTTTTCCTTATGACAAATTATTTTGCATACATATATTAGAAAACTGAAGTTTTGTACAGTGTATAATGGTGTTGGAAACCTAGATGTGTAGTGCAGGTCCCACGCTATTCTTTGTTGGCAAAGAGTATGTTATTTCAGATTGTTTTAAAATGTAACTTAAAAGAATACTGGAATATTTTGGTGTTGGCAGCTGTGATTCTTAGTTGTAAATATTATTTCATAGAAAACAGTATTTATATTCATCATGTGAATAACACAGTCTACAAAACTTGATTCTTCTGACTCACTTTTTTCCTGTGTTTTTTGTTGTTTTGCTAAGCATGTATGTCCATTGTAAAGGACATCTGTTCCCAGCCTACTGGGGTTGTGTTACTAGTGAAATGCTCCGATGCTGTTTCCAGTCACAGGAAATTAAAAAAATTAAAAGTGATTATCATGAGGAAAACAAATATGAAGTTGCCTGCAGCATGCTGCTGATTGTCTGTTGCTGCCTGTGGACCAGGGAAGGTTAGAGACCATGGCACTAGAATATATGCACCTGTTTCTATGGTTACTTGTGTCAGGTTTTTTTGGAGTGTTTATTACAGGAAAGTAATGACTCATATTACACGGTGGGGCTTTTTGCACTATTTTTGCATTAAAGCATTAGAAAATTTAAATTACTTGGTGAATGTACATAAGCAGTATTTCTAAAATATAAACAGTATTTTTTCTGACTGGTCAATGGGTCATGGAAGTTTTTAGTGAGAAATTATTTTGGGGCATGGATTGAAGTATGTGTCCATATAATACTTAGCAATACTTATGATCAAAATTTATCCTAAAAGTTGCTAAGAAAAAATACACTGCATACTGACTTTCATAATGTAGTTGGAAATTGCTCTTTCAATATATTTCAACACACCAATTAGATGAACAAAACTTTACTTTTTGGTAATGCTAATTTTTTCCTCTGTAACAGCACTTTCAAGGGTTACTTGCTTGTTATTCTTCATGACAGCAGCTATTACTGAGGGATATTTTTAATGTATCACTTCATATCAGGGTAGAATGACACAAAAGGAAAGCAGTGAAAGCAACATAGTGGATAACATGTTATGTATTCAGGTAGCAAGAGAAGGAACTTGGTCCCTAATGTACCTTTCTGTGTTGAAACTTGCATTTTCAAGGAATTCTGCTATAATTAAACAATTCTATTTTATTTTATGCCCATGTTTTCTTCTCTCTTAATTTGAGAGAATGAAACAAGACATGAAGATGAACAAATCTTAATAACATCTAAATCCCCGTTGAAGAGAATAAGAACTTTTCTATGCAGCTGTGTTTTCATGAAAATGATGAAATTTGTGTAGGATTTTTAAGGGAGTAAGTTGAATGTAAAATTTGATTTCAGAGTATTGTGTTCTCCAGCACTAATATAAATATGTCTTTCTTACAGCTACACTGTGATTTTTGTTTCAATAAGCTTTTCATGGTCTCTGGAGTATAAAATGTATTGTTCAACTTTTAATAATGCTAATTACCAAATAATACAATCTTCTTTCTGGAAAATGCATCCTTCTTACCTATTCCATTTCTCGGTGTTGTGGCTTTTTTCTGTTGAATAAGAGCTTTGAATGTCAATTATAAATCTGAGTTGTTGTCATGTTAGATGAGACTGTTTGCCTGTCAAACCTCCCTGTTCAATCTTCAGGCAATATTTGATGCTTCAAAGTGAAAGCTTTCACCTTGAATCATTTGGCTCCCAATCCACCCATTGCATCCACCATAAACACTGGAGCTGGGGGAGGACAGAATACTGCTGGATGAAGCACACCAGTGTTTAACACACATCACCTCTGCGAGGCTACAATTTCAAACTTATTTTTAAGGCACACTAGAATGTAGTCCTGCCTTAAAAATGCTTCCAACAACAACTAACATCTAATAAGGCCATACACAGTAAAATGAATCAAAGATTCCCAACCACATCCGCTGCCAGACAAATAACATTAAAAGGACTTAGCCCAGATCTCCCTACATGCAAAGTGGAAAGGGCCAGGTCCTCCCCCGAAATGAGTCGTTTCTACAGATGTAATTCAGGTGCCCTAAGTTTCTGTGGTCAATTCACTGAAAGCCTCCCTTACTGGGAGGATTTAGTGGTGGAAACTGGCCTGGTGTGACAGTGAGAGAAGTGAAGTGGTGCAGCAGCTTAACAGGTGAGAAGACTGGAAAGGGTCATGACATCTACTTTTGTAAGGAGAAAACAGCAAAGCTGTTTCTATTATACCACAACTATTGTGGAGAGAAAAAGCAGTTTCTAAAAAAAGGTTTGGCTTTCAGTGAGAACTTGATGGGTTATTCAGAAGAGTGTGAATACAAGAACTCGTGCACAAGTTCCTGCTCAGATCTGTATGGCTCAACTCAGGGAAGACTTTTTGCTTTAGACAAAGGGTACTTAAGAGAAGAAATGTAAGTTTCAAAGAATTCTTCAGCAAGAGAAAGACCAATCAGCATTTTTGTTCAGAGCCACAATTGAAGGACTCAAGTTGCATGTTGATACAAATCTCACTGGAGATTTATTCACTAGGAGAGAATGGCAGATGAGAGAGGAGTAAGAGATTTAGGGTGCGGGTAGCTGATTTCTGCAGAGAAATAACATGAATCTGCTTCAGGGTTACTGAATATAACCACTAAACATCTGAATTCTCTCAGCCCTGAGCAAACAGTTACTGATTAGCCTAGAGTTTACTTGAGGAACTAAGTCTACTTTCTTTAGGAAGGACAGGTAAAAATGTTGCAAAAGTTCCTGTTCTGTTGCTTCCCTAATTTGCAGTCTTCCTTCTCTTAAGTCTTGATTTGAGAACTTTAACCTCCTTATGTGTTAGAAAATCCTCATTTGAAAATAGTGTTGAAGTTCTCTGTCCCTTATTTCAGACTTGAAAATCACTTGCCGTATTTTCTTGATATCCTGTGTTCACTTCTACCCTGAAGAATTTTTGCAACTGAAATAAATTAAAAAAAAACTAAGCCAAACATAGTTTGTCTCTTTACACAATATATCATGCTGTCACCTACTGCAAGGAATGATAAATAATTTTTAGGATAGTGTATGTCATTGAAAACATTAGATTAAAACAAAACATCTTGTCTGTGCTTACAGAATCAATGAAAATGCTGAGACATTTAAAAACAAATACTGAAATAACTATCACTGAGATAAGGAAAAATGTGTATAAAGCCAGGAATCACATAAAAGGACAAAGTCCAATAATGTCTTCAAGATTCTTCAGACATGACAATAATTTTTTCCCCAATTATACCTTTGAAAAGTGGATTGTACTTTGTAGCTGTAAGATCTCTAAACAGAAAAGAAACGAGGGAGTGTATAAGGCAGGGAAGGCTATATTGAATCTGTTGTGAGAAACATCATTTGGAAGGGGTCATTTTGTGCCCTGGGATGTCATTGTCTCTGCATATGTTTTTACATGAAACTGTGATATTTACTTTCCTTAGGTATATTTTTGTCTAGTCTCCCTTTCAACAAGCAGCATCTATCTGTATGCATTTGGACCCCAACTTCCTCTATGCTCCATGTGGTACACAAAACTAACACTCAGCTGTGATCTACCTAATAAGTGTAGGTGTTTGAAGTATCAGGCATTAGCAGCCCAGCAAAGAAGTGTCGTTACAGCTTGCAGTGGAGGGCCTGTGTTGCATGTCAGGAATGGTGTGAAACATGAGGATATTGAAGCATGCAAACTGGAAGAGAGATTGAGAATTGTGTAGTGTAGAGGAAATTGGATGCTGAATTCTCCATGCTGCCTTTTAGGAGTGATCTTTGGATTGGACTGTCACCAAAACCATGTTCAGATGTTTCAGTGGTTACTGTTAAGTGTTTCTGATAGCAAGACTTCTCTAGAGCATGAAAAATGATTGAAAAAATATGAAAAAATGAATGTAAAATGATACTGACTTAATTGAAGCTGTTGAACAGTATTGAAGTAAGTGAACGACACAATACTATATTGCTACCATTTTACACTTACCTTCCTGTGTATTTTGTAATGGGCAATACAATGGAAAAGTAAGTGCAGTGTTAATTTTTTGTGTGTTTTTTGATTTACATCAAAGTCTAAATAGTAGGTTTATTTGTAAGTTCTCTCTGACAGAAGTACCACACAAGAATGAAGCTGGCATTTATTCACCCTGAAGATATGTATATATGTTTCCAGCATATTCTAATCCAGATACTAGACTTGAAGTCTTTCAAAAGTAGCATTCTAAAAGTCCACAAGGAACACTTCTTCTTCCAAGAACTCTTGTTTATGATATTTGTAAATCCTGACAGTAAAAGAACAATTAACCTCTTAGCTTTTCTTTCATGTAGGGTGATAGCTCCTATGTAAAGGATCGTTGGTGTGTGTTTGATGGATTCATGGTCTTTTGTCTTTGGGTGTCACTGGTTTTACAGGTAATCATTTCACTTCTTTTTTTTCAGTGAATGGTTCCTTAATTGTGAAAAATATATGGCACAACCAAAAAACTGTGAGTTGTGGAAGTACAGTTGTACTTGGGTCAAATTGTTTTTAAAAAAATGTACTGAATTCAATAGCTCTGTAATTGCACATTGCAGCATATCTGCATTAGTAGCAGAATTTATCTTGTTTAATTTTTCTTATTAAATCTGAAGCTGGTTACCATAAACTCTCTGCATGGTCAAAAGGAGAAAGAAGGATCTTCAGAGAGCCATTTATCCCTTACTCCATATGACAGTTGTGCTCATTTCCTTCCACTGAGTCTAGCAGGATGCCATGGTGACTAGCTTAGGCACCTAAGGGGAGAGTGATTCCAATGGTAAATGTTTCCCATGCTGCAGGTGTATTGATATGGTGAGTGGAGTGGTTTCATGTAAGATTGATTGCTCACAGCTAACAAAACATTTTCCAAGAATCAAGCTAAAGCACAGTGGGAAAAAAATCCATATTTGGAAATAGTTTGATAAATTTTTATAAAGAAGGGAACCTGGACATGTTGCAAAAAAGTACAGTGTTAAGGTAAAGGTGTCCTGCATATCAATCAGTCCTTAACCATAGGCAGTTTTTTGGGTAAGAACAGGTTGAAGACTGACGTTTGACCTGCAATAGTGTAAGGATTGTAAAAGTTCTGTAGTGATTGCTGTTAGGCACGTATACATTTCTGGCAAATTTTCAGACACATTATTTTTACACAGGGCAGACTTTGGTGGTACATCTTGTACACATGTAGAATGAAGGTTGATCATTACTATGTGTGTCCAGGTTCCCCCTCCGTTTTCTTAGTACTTTGAGTAAACATTAAATCAAGTAGTTACTTTAAGAGAGTGATAGACAAGGATTAAAACAAGACATTTTCACCCAGTCATTTAGCTAAACACTCTTTACAGTGCGTAACTTATCAATGTATTGAGGAAATGGTTCCCCATTCTGTGTCTTGGCTGAAATTTGTGTCATAAGTAGAGTCTAGGAGAAAAAAATGCAGTTTTGTCATGCACTTGGAATTAAATGGAGAATTTATAAGCATGTTGCAAGTCATAAGGCAATCTGTGTGTATGTATTTTTATATCATAGTAAAAACCTTAGTGCTGTGCAACATTAACAGATACTAATTTTCATATTTGGAAATATATATTAATCACTTCTAACAAGGTTGTGGGAAACCTATGGGGTAGGACTAGCACAGAAATAGGCAGCTAACACAGGCTTGCAGAGTCTTCTTGAGTTGTTTGAGACTGAAGCATTATGAGCATGGGCAGAGTATATTTTTGGAAGCTCATTAGGATAACTTAGAAATGGATTAAAGTATTTACAAAGACTTTTCTTTTTTAAAAATGTAATTAAAATGAATCATAAAATAAACCAAGAGAACACTGAAAATTAAAATAAAAAATGTGTAGTATTCATACTTTTAAAAGTTCTATAAATGAACACAGGCATAGGAGAGAGTCATCAAGACAAAGTACCGATTCTTTTCTTTGTAGGTGTTTGAAATTGCTGAAATAGTTGACCAGATGTCACCTTGGGGCATGCTACGGATTCCACGACCGCTCATTATGATTCGAGCATTCCGGATATATTTTCGTTTTGAGCTGCCAAGAACTAGGATAACAAATATTTTGAAGTAAGTAAGGCTATTATTCTTCAGATAATAGAGAATATTTCAGTGTTGGGTTAGAAGACTCACTATGCAGTAAATCAACAACCCTTCATGCTTAATGGGTATTTTCCTCCTGAGTTTTAGTTCTGGCCAAAAATTCTTGCTATTTTCCATATGTAAGGAATAATGAAGTTTTATAGAAAATGATCAAAACTTTCAAATATTTAAACACATTTTAAAGCACTTTGCTAATAACCGTAGCCAGCAATTTGCAACCAATGGCAGTAAATTCTGTTCCATTAATATCCCAATTTAATAATCAAGGTGAATACCCTTACTAGGGTAATATTTGTAAATAAAAGTACATGAGCACAGACCCTAACCATTACAGTTACAAGTGTACATGTATTGGTGTGTATACAGAGATGCCTATTTGCAAGCAAACACACATAATTATGCTTGGTAGAGCATGTCATGGCAAAAAGTATAATGGTAATGTGAAAGAGTTTTTTGGTCTTTATTCAGTATCAACTTTATTCATCACCATATCTTGTCTGTATAAGTCATTAGATACTATTTTACAAAAGCTAGACTTTATACATTTTATTTGGGCATTTTTGTTTCACCCTTTACAGCTTACAGCTGGTTTAATTACCCTAACTTAGGGATTTAGAAAAAATCATGTCCCCCTTTTCTTTTTGTGCAGAGTAAAAGTACAGTTTTAAGGACAATTTTTCTGCAGGATGAAATACTGCTTTCTTTGTATGAGCATATTTTCTATTCTAGAGATTTTCAGAGGAGGCTTCACATTGCCTGTGCATTCAGAGTCCTGTTTGTCTTTTTGCCAGGCGTTCTGGAGAGCAAATCTGGAGCGTTTCAATTTTTCTTCTGTTCTTTCTTCTCCTATATGGGATCCTGGGAGTGCAAATGTTTGGAACTTTTACATACCATTGTGTGACCGACGACACGCAACCAGGGTGAGTTAACCTGTGCAGGGCCTGTTCTTTCCTTATATATGTATAATTGTAGTAGCATCAGCAGATGTAAAATGAACTTAATGGATTAAAAGCAATCCACCAAAATACATTAAGGTAAATTGGGGAAACAAAAATGTTAGGAATTATGAAAAATACAAATTTTAACTGTGACAGAGAGGTTACAAATTGTGTCATTTGGCTGCAGTCTGAGTTAGAGAGTGAGTGACTGTATGTAGTGTGGGACAGGGAGGTGAGAGAGCAGGAGAGCAGAGGATACTTTAAGAGGAGCATTGCCATTTGTGGCTGCTCTGGGTCACTGACGATTCATCAGGTTTTGCGCTCTTCTATCTTTTCCTAGAATGTCTTGATGTGGGACCAGACCTAAAGAATGGGGCAGAACCACCCCTGGAACCATAGAATCACAGAACAGTTTGGGTTGGAAGGGCCCCCCTGCAATGAGCAGGGACATCTTCAACTAGATCACGTTGCTCAGAGCCAACCTGACCTTGAATGTTTCCAGGGATGGGCCATCTACAACCTCTCTGGTCAACCTGTTCCAGTATCTCAGGCCCTTTCTGGATTAATAGTTTGCTGGGATCTGATACTCGGATTTAAAGACCCTTTTTGTCCAGCTTCTGCAAAATACTTATGATATATATTTTACACTGGTAATCGAGTATACATCACATTTTGATTCAATATATACTTAATCACCTTGAAGTACAATAGAGCCTCTTGTCACTGGGATGACTGATAAAATCACAGATAATATGCTTACATGTCCTGTTGAATTGAAGACTTAACTGTGTCCTTGAGCACCGTTACATTGTGAGAGTCTTTTACATCTATTTGTTTTGTCCCTGTTTCTTTGGATAGTGAAACATTAGCTCTGGGGTTGTGGTCTTTGTTTTAGTCAAAATGGGATCCTTTTATTCCTGTATTGAATTTGTCAGAACATAAAATAAACAAAGTAAGCATGGTAAGAAAGCAAAACACCACTTAGTCTGCTGCTGAGCTCAGTAGGTCTCATGATCGCAAAACTCTGTATTAAAGATTTTTCTAAACTAGGGCCTAAAAACTATCAAATATAAAATGAGAGCATTAAAAGTGGCAGATTCAAAAAAAGAGTGCAGAATTATTTGAGAATATGCTAGATATTTTATGGTACTTTGTTAGATGAAAAAAAGTAATTTTGGGATATTTTCTTACTGATGTGGAGCTGATCTTCACCTCGACTGCACATTTATTCTTTTATTCTAACTCTTTTTATAAGAAAAAATCTTTATAGAACAGATTTTTTTTTGCCATTTCCCATAGACATGAGAAAAAAGTTCTTTGTGAAAAATTCATTTGTGTTAATAAGAAGGTATGTAATTCTGCAATTTACAGAATGTTATTTGGAAAAACAAGAAGTGACATAGACAACACAAGAAAGATCAGGCATCATATAATTGCTTGTGTGGGTGAATACAGCTTTTCCTTGAAATCAGCAGAAAAAGATGAAATGGGACATAATAATGTTTGCAATATGGAAATTTAAATTTATAACTTTAAGGCTTTCCATTAAGTTTTGGCTGCTTTCTCTGCATGTGTTGGGTTGTTCTCTGAATATGGCATTATTAAAAAAAATATACAGAAACCCCCTAAATTTTAGGTTGTTGAAGGTCTGAATTACAGGAAAAGGTTAAAAGCTACAAATATCCAGTGTATAAAATATTTAAAATCTGCCTAGGTGGGGTTAATGTTCAAAAATTCAAGTGTGCAGAATCAAGGGAATTTTAGACTTGAGGTTGACCATGTACCCCAAACTCCTTTTCCTTTCAGTTTCATCAAGTTTATATCTTTTTAGCTGTTTAAAAATTAGAAATCTAATTTAAGTTACTTTTTAGGTACCTAGGAACCAGATTTATAACTTAAAATGGCTCCCATGATTGTGTATGAGGACTACAGTTACATTGACACCACTTTTTTTCCCCTGGAAATGTTCCCCCATTTATTCTGATGAATGGTGCTCATACAAAGAACAATATACTTTTTTTCTTTGTTGCTTGATATGTGGATTTTTACCTTAGTCTTGGCATACTGCTCATTCCTACTCTGAAAATACTGATTTCCTCTTCTTGTCTGTAACATTCATCATTACACCCCCAGAAACACTTGCCCCTATCTCTTCTGTGTTTAATTTTTGAGGAGTGCAGTGCAGAAGGTCAGAGCGGAGTTGGCATGTGCCTTCTTCATGTAGGTCAGGGCTGACCTTTCCAGAGCTAGTTTATTAGCTGGGATGTAATAGAGCACAAAAGCATGAAAATTGCTTAGCCAAGTTTTACTTTTGTCTTTGAGGTTCAGTTTCTCAACTTATAATGAGGATTAAACATTCCTCTTAGAGGTTGAATTGGTCGGTCAGTCTGTCTGTCTCACGTGGCTCTGTTCCAGGCAGTGGAGAGTCGCCAAAGTTGGCTGTACTTGTCCTTAAATAACTTCAGTCTTTAATGAGCCACAGCTGTAAATTTTCGGCAAACCAGATTCCAGGCTCCCAAGTCAAGATTAGAAAATGAAAACCATCTAATTAGCAACCACCTGTGAGAAGTTTAATTTTAGGTGATTTTCCTGGTATTATGCAGAATTCTATGTCAGGCAACAAGGGTGAAATCTTATTTTTGCGGTCAAGGCTTCATCTATTTGTGACATTTTAGAAATCACTCTTTTTAAGTTTACTGCCTTATAAATTATTATTATGAAGGAGGCAAATGCCTTTTGAAAATGGTATCTTAAAATCTTGCCATTCTTTTTTATTTGAAAGGACATGGTATCCTCACCAGACAAGCGTTGCCTCTTTGACTGCTGCAAGTTCTTTTATCTTTCCATCTCTCTTGATGCCCACACTGCCTGACCTCCTGTCTCTCCACCTCCTCAGTCATTTTATGATGATAACTCTGACAAACAGAAATACTGAAGTGAGCTAACTGCAGTCTGAGTTTTCATTCTGTCTGAGAAACCAACAGAATCTGACTTCCTTCCAAAGGCTGAAAAGTTTATTGTTGTTGTTTGATGATAAGTCCTTTTTTCCTTTATTCTCACAATAGTCTTCCCTATAAGGAACACTGTCTTCTTCCGAGACAATTTTATCATTCTTTATTCCCTCATGATTATGACTTATCTTTTTTCAGCTATGCAGTAATAACTTTTCCCTGATGATTTCCCTGAGCAATATATCTTTTTTCTGTCAATAAGTGGTATATTACATGAATTTCCTTTGAACGGATCTTCTTTAGTTGCATGAAAGACACACTGTATGGTTGGAATGTAATCTATATGTAATCCAATTATCTTGATAAATCCATACGTTATAAGCAGTTTGATAGGTTTTTTTGTTATATCTGAGATTAAATTCAAAGAGTCAAACAAAATAAAGTGAAAAAAGTTGTGTTTCCAAAGCTACTAAATTTAGTCTTGGTCACCTCTAGTACATACAATGTATTTCCACAAGGAGAGGAGAGAGAAAATCTTTCCAAACCCTTCCTGTGGTTGTTAGAATATTTTATATATCCTCACATGCTACCTACTGAATGTTTTCTGTATTTTTTATTCCTAAGACATGTTTGATTACACAATAATGCTTCCAAACTGCATGATTAGTTTATATTTATTATATATTATATAATATAATATATTTAGATTATATTAAATATAGTTTATATTTATATTATCTCAGTCTGCATGGAGCTAAGGGAAAGGAAGCCTCATCAAAAGAGAAAGGCTAATGTGGCTAACAGCCATAAATTGTGGTACTTACCTATTTCTTTTCCCAAAGTTATTCTTTAGATCCTTTTTTTTTTAACATTTTCAGTGATGTATAGGCTGAATATTTCTGTAGACTGGTCTACCTCGTCACCATGGCAGTCAATTTAAAATCCTTCTTTTTTAAGGTTTCTTGTTTAAAGTAGGAGATGCCCAGGAAAACAGATAAGAAAAATAATTACTGTGTAATAGAAAGAGCTAAGAAGTTCTTGGTGATCTTTCCATCTGTCTACGGATAGGCCCCGAAAATGTCAGAAAATAGCTTCAAAGATTGGAGCTGAAAGCTCACCACAATATCTAGTAGAGGAAATAAATACGATTAAAAAGAACAAAAGGAATTTGTAATACTGTCTTACACCAGCCATGGGAAAATAAGCATTAGTAATCAGGTTTCTGAGAAAGAGAAGGAATCAAAGACCAAGCTTGAAAAATCAACATAACAGGACTTCATTAGCAGAGCACATTAATTTATTGATTTTAGTTCAACAACCAGCACCACTTTAATATTGTCTTTGGGATTTATTCACAATCTCTCTTACTGGTAATACATGTCTACTATAAACTCCTCAGGAAGAAGAGAAATGGAAAAAAATCTTATTTTTTGAGGCCTGATGTTGTTTAAACCCCAACTAAAAACAATTGAAATAAAGCACCAGTCAAAAAGGAAAGTAATTCATTTTAAATGGGATTCAGTCAAAAGGGTGGAAAGAATGTTGAGGTGGTGGCCTATGTTGGTGGCCTGTGTTGGGAAGCAGTCTTCAGGAGTGAGACTCTCGAAACTTTCAGAGGGCACGTGATTTCTGAGCAGAAATACTATTTTTTATTAGAACTTTTATACAGATAGCTGTCCAAAGTAATTACACTATTGATTAATTTAGCACAGACTTCACAGTGTTTTGTTTATCCAAATGCATTTTAAACAAAAAGGTGACCTTTTAACAACAGTCCAGGATAGAGTGATGAGAACCCAATTACCTCAGCTCCCGATGGCTCAGTAATGACATGTACTTGTTCGTATTAAGATTTGGAGCCATTTGGGTTCACACAATTCTCTGTCCCAATGCAGAAATCAAATTTATTGAACTTCTGCTCAGCCTGTCAACCTTTGTGGGATTTTTTTGAGAATAGATCCTTTTGAGTAATCTGCAGTGGATTTTATAGATTATTGTGAAGTTGGCTCACTATACATACAAGAATTTGAA